AGAGAGAGAGAGAGAGAGAGAGAGAGAGAGAGAGAGAGAGAGAGAGAGAGAGAGAGAGAGAGAGAGAGAGAGAGAGAATTGTAGTCATTTACCCAGGATGAAAAGGATAGTTTTGCTTGACCTGGGAGAAGTATGTCGAGAAATCTTTTCCACTCTCTGCTTTCCCTGGCCAAACAACCATGCTGGTGAACCCACTCTGTCCTCCATTTACTGGGGTCTTGCTAAACCAAATGGGACTCAGATTATCTGCATCCAGAAGTCCGCCCAAAGCATCATATTCCTTTCCCACTGGGGAGCCTGAACACCCTTCTTTTTCATCGGGTCTTCACACAACTGATCCATGGGTATGGCCAATAACTCCAGCCTTTGAACAACAGATATGTGTGACACCAACGAATCATGCGACTTGGATGAACGAACAGGCCATCAGAGAGTGACCCTCAATTGTGAACCAACATATCTGCCCGCTGAGGTGAATGCCGCAGTCCTCGTAATTGGGACAGATAAACAGCCATAGACCAACAGCAAGTCTCCACGACTGGTCCTGTTCCAATGGGGATGGACCAACAGCCATATAGACAGCAAGGCTTGGACCAAAGGATACATCTGCTCCTACTCCAATTGGACCTACAGCATGGTGAGCTAGCCACCATCCACCCTTGCCACCTCAGATGCATACGTAGGGAGCTCAATCAACAACGGGAAACCCAGGTGGACAAATCACCTTACATGTTCCATGGCACTGCCTTGTACCTTCTTCCCCGCCACCTTGCTTCCTCATGTCCTGAACAGCTTCAGAGTTCCATCATCCACCCATGCCAACCTGAAGGAGGTCCATCCACAACTACAAGCCTAGGTGAATGAATCAAATACATGTTCCATGTCACCATCTTATACCTTCTTCCCCACCACCTTGCATCCTCGTTTCCCGAAGAGCTCCAGAGTTCCCACCCTCTCAGCATTACATCTTGATACCCCATTCATTCTACTCACTAATACCCATTCATTCTCCCTGCACGGCCGGCATCCTCACCTGAAAGTTCTGCCTCCTCCCTCCATCCCCATAATAGACTTCCACTTCGGTTACCAAGGCAGCTTCATCACCTCACTAACACTCCTATCCCCCTTGAGCATAAGACATTCCATCCTGATCTCCCTCTCAACTGCACACCCCTACCATCTCCCCTCCCTCCCCTTTTTCCCCCATGTTCTCCCCGTCCATCCCAATCCACCCTGAAGCCGCTCACCACAAATGGCCATCCTGTATCCCGTTGTATAATTCGCCATGCCAAAACAGCGCTCAGATCGGCCTTTGCAAGATGACAGATGGGACCATCCTTCTTTGTTGTTGTAATCGGCGCTCCAATCCTAAGCTTGTCAACATCAAACACCAACCACCTTAGCTGTCACGTGACACACCTATCCTTTTACTGTTCTGCCGAATGGAGAATCCAGAGCTCCCTACCAGGGCAGGTTTCCACTTTACAGTAACGTTTTTGCTCCTGTACGGTCTACCACCTTACATCTCTCTCTGTGTCTCTAATGGGGACTTCTTTGTCTCTCCCTCTCCTTGTATTCGCTTCAAAGGCATACTTGATCTCTGTAAGCTCTGCATCAAGAGCAGCCCTGCAAGAAGTCACTGCAGGGTCCACAGAAGTCATGAGGAAAGCTTCATCGAGGATGCTCTTAGACTGCATCAACATGTTAAGTCGCTCCTCACTTCCATACGGCTTCAACCTCGACCGGTCACGCATGGCAATTGCCCAATTGACAAAAGCTGGTTTACCACACACAAGAGCACACAACCAGCCAAGAAGCAGTCATTTTCACTCAAAACTGTACTCGGGCTTTGGCAATCTCTGGGTCAGGATTTCTCATAGCTCAAAGTCCATGGTCTCCCTGTCTCAAAGTATGCTGTCTGTACGAACTCTGTAGCTCAAAGTCTGTGGTGTCTGTAGCTCAAAATCTGTGGTGTCTGTAGCTTGAAGTAGTATGTCCATCGCTCAAGGTCCCTATAACCCTCATAGTTGACGATCTGGCAAGGGAAGCCTGAGACAGAAGCGTCTGCTGAACACTGTCATAACAAATTCCACTTATAGCCCTGCTTCCCTGCCTGTGAACCATTAACTCAGTAGGGCCTTCCTCATTTGGCATACACAGCAGGGCCAGCAGAAGAATTAGTCTGCACCCATCCAGTGCACTAAGACGTGGTTGGGGAGAAAGGAAATAAGAAGGAGAGGTGGGGGCGGGGTGAGGAGGAGTTTGGGGGCGAAACAGTTTCTGATTTTTGAACGTTCAAATAGGCCCCAAAAACGTTTGCCAAATTTCCAAGGGAATTGGAGTAAACAACAACCACCTGCATGCGCCCTGTACTCTTCTTTTACCACCTATGGCTGAGAAGAGACTGCTACAAACAGGCAGTTCGCAAAGGAGATTTTCAGTGCTTGCCAGAAGCTATGCTATGCTATCTGCATGCGATTCTGCTATATACGACACACAATATTCATTTGTGAGGTGGCCAGGTCTTGAAAACAGAGACACATTCCAACTTTTGGCCACGACTATCATGCGCGTTGCATCCCCAGTGTAGGTGAACACCTCGCAGGAGCAACGGACGTCCTGTGATGGCCACATGCAGCGAGGCGCTATGTTGATTGTATTCGGTTTCAAACTCAGGCCTCGTTATCAACAGTCATTTGAGGTACCATCGTGGAACTGACCGGTCCCAGGTAATTCAGAACTACTTCACTCACCTCTGCATTTCAACAGTTTGCCGATGTACCAATTGAGCTAGGCCCAGGTTTACGCATTGGCCCTTCTTTTTCTTCCCATGCGTTCCTTTTTCAGTGCGTTCATGACCCCCCATTTTTTTTTCCCGCCAGTTTTCCGCATGGTCGCATCGGCCATTTTTTCCCATGCGTTATTTTTTTGCGCCTGCGTTCTTCATTTTTTTGGAGGAACGTGGAGAGGGGCATCTGAATCGGGAATCTGATTTGTGCCTTCAGCAAAGTACTGACAGCAAGACCCAACCAGCAACACCACGACTAAAGGGGAGGTCGATCTCAAAAATGTTTATCCTGCATCTCCCAGCAACTATCAGCGGAAGTTGGGCCAGATCACAACACTTCAAGCAACGGGGTGTGTATGAAAATGCATCTGCAGCTACTGCAATCAGACTCGTTTTCAAACACACTTTTCACACATGTAAACCGTAACGCAGCATACTGGCGACATGCGCCCACTCAAAATCAGAGATATGGTTTTCAGATACGAATTTCACTCCCAATTGGCTATGGCGACCTCAGCGCCCAAACATCTCACTGTTCACATACACGGGATCACCCTGGATATCCCACACGCATCACTCTAACACTCGAGCACAC